AACAGCAACAGCAACAGCAACAGCAACAGCAACAGCAACAGCAACAGCAACAGCAACAGCAAAGAAATAAAGAAGAAGAACAAGAAAAAATTATCTCATGTAACTTTTATTTTTGTTTAATCTTATTTTAAGAAATAGACTAATATAAAAGATTTCTTTCAAATTGTCATTTTTAACATTGAAAACCATGAATAAAACTGGAACGAAAATCCATTATAGAAATCCTTGTCTAAATCATTCTTGAAACCCTTTATATTAGGAAAATAAAAGAGCAAATGACGGGCAGTGTTAAACTTTCATGAGGTTCGTGAGATTCATTCAGCTTACTTATAGCAATTGCAATAGAATACCCTGGTTAATAGCACATGCAGTGTTTGTCTATCAATGTAGGCTCGTGGGACTTCAATCAGCTGAAAGAATTTAGACTTATTCTTGCATTTCCTTGGACTATTTCCTATCAATTTAACCGTGTCATTGTCCATCTTTTAATCGCTTTTTTACCGAAAAACGAAACAAAAACAAAAACAAAAACAAAACAAAACAAAAAGGAAGCAAACAAACAAACAACAAACAAAAAAAAACAAAAAAAAAACAAGAAAAAAACAACGACAACGACAAAATCTTCCCCCCAAAAGAACCAAATAGTCAAAAAACTTACCATTGGTCTATGAAAAAAAAATTAGCTCATTTCATTTCACATCACTAAATTATGAATAAAATAAATAAAAAAATAGACAAGCAAAAGGAAACTAAAGTAATGCTGAAATATAAGTTAAAAAATGAAATATAAGGTGTTTATTCCCTGTTTGATTGTGTGTTTGTTTGTTTTTTTTGTTTGTTTTTGTTGTGTTCTTTTTCCGAGAAAGATGTGCTCCAATAGACAGAATTCTCGTCTTTACCTGTTAAAATATATTTTGTGGTGAAGACAAAACCTTTGAGATTATACTAAGAAGCTAAGATCAAGCAAAAACGTGGGCAATTTAAATGCAGTCTTGTCCTTGTCCTCGTTTTTGTTCGTGTTGATTTTTTTCTATTTTTTTTTTTCCCCAAGCCCACTGTCTGTTTGCCTTTCTTTTCCCCTCTCTTGCTTGCATTCATAATTGCACAATAATATTTTTCCTCATTTCATTCCCTACATGTCCACACTCATGTTGAACCAACCATCTTTTATCTCCTTTCAATACAACTCCGAATACATTGTGAAATGTCATGGTTTTCTAATCAGTTATCCTTCACTAGACAATCATTTTAGGTATTAATTTCACAAAATCTTATTACAAGAACTTCAAACATTGTCATTCAATTAAGATTTCTTTCTCGATGAAAATCAACAAAATCCATGTTGTTTTTAAATTGCCAATTTTTGGCTTCAATACAAAATTACCGTTAGGACAGCTGGTAAATATATTTATAGAATGTAGATGCGCAGTCCAAACTTACTTCGATAAAATAAAAGCAATTAGTGATGTTGTGAATGTTTAAGGGCTAAAAACTCAATTTTGAATGGTTTCTTTTCCATTGTTTTAGTGAAGAGCTAATCTTTAGCAGATCCTACTTAACGGAAGTAAACTAAGCTAAGATAGTTTGAATCGCCTCCAAGATTAGCGAAGCAACCGAAGACAGACAATCGACAAAGACGTAAGTATGAAGGAAATTCACTTTAGTCACTCCAAATTCAAGTTTTGTACCAGATAAAATTAGCAAAAATTACCATAATCCGTCAATATATATATACAATTTATGGTACTATATTTCTGAAGTAAATTATCTTCAAATAAAACCGCTCTTTTTGAAATTCATCCTTAGTTTTCTTTTCAGTGCAGAATAGATGTTACACTTATTTTCAAAATTACCCGATCTTCTTGTGTTTAGCTGCCGTCAATCAAACTTCGGACGATTTGTTAAAAAAATCCCAAAATGATCTTAAAGTTTCAACCGTTTGAATATTACTGAAAGAAAGACAAGATTGCTTCGTTTCAGAATTTACAAAGCAAGGATTTCACAAGAGCAAGCCGTTGTCATATTTGATTGACGGCAGCCAAAACACAGAAAACGAGAAGAGTCAGCGCCGGTCGCGTAATTTTGAAAATAGGTGTAAATATAGCGGTTTATAAAGCTAGTAATATATCATTTTAGATGTTAAGATGAAATGAAAATTGTATCGAGTAATGCTGTTAAAATATTTTTTCATTCTTAACATTTCCACAATAATATTTCGGTATTAGTTTTTAAACTTAGAAATGTAAGCTTTACATTTTTGATGTATATTTATTATCATTATGCCATTTTCATAAAATAAGCAAGCCAAATTTCAACTAAATATATAAACTGAGTTTTATATACCATATTTTTTGCAAACGTTAATTTTTAAAATATTTTTTGACAAATTTTAATCTTTAGCTTTTTTCCTATACAACCAAAAATGCATCTACATATATTTTGCTTTTTCCTGAATTATGCATTGAAACTTTTAATTTTCTACCTGCGTGGTATTGTAACCTTATTATTATTTAAAAGAAGTAATATATACTTGTGTTTCATATAATGAATTTTCACAAGCACATGTTCTGATTGGCTGGAGAATAAATAACCTGAACTTAAGCGTCAAAACAGTTTTTTTAAACAGATTGAACCTTAGAAATGGTTTTAATCACTTCAGATAGACCTTGAACATCAAAAATCTTTTCTTTCTTTCCTTCTTTCCTTCTTTCTTTCCTTCTTTCTTTCTTTCCTTCTTTCTTTCTTCCT